TCAGCAGTTCGTCAGCAGTTCGCCATGCATGTGGTGGTATGGGGTAAGTGGATGGGGTATGTGGTGCTAAGCAATTATGGGGCGAGCAGGTAGCCATTGAGACGCGTGAAGGCTGCGGGGTGGCATCCTTTTCCCTCGCATGCGTGTGTGTGGATGGATAGAAGTGGATTCGAGCAGTGGTTACTCAACACACAGCCACATCCCGCTGGTACGCCTCCGACCAACCCGCAGCGAGCCCAGGCAGCATGCGGGTGCCAGTGTCACCTGGCCTTGCAAACCATACACGGCGCCACACACCTATGCATGGTGGTGGAAGATGCAGCATGTCCACTGCCTCCAATCCTACCGAGCTGTCATGGACTCCCGAGCAACCAGCCAACCGACAGACCGACAGACCGACCAGCAACTAATCCGCGCTCCCCACCAAGGGCACCCTCCAAGGCCTCCTACCGGCGCATACTGGAACTGCACACCCTCCGGTGGCAGCGTGTCCGCTGCAAGCGCCAAGGGAACATTGTAGCCCGATGATGATGACGCGTGCTGCTCTGTGCCGCCTGCCCCGCCTGCCATCGTGTTGCCATGTCCAGGCATACCTCCGCCAGGGACACCACTGCCGCTACCGTTGCCACTGCCACTGCCACCGCCACCGCCACCACTCGCGCTGCTTCCGCCAGGCGGCTGCTCTTCAACCACCATTTCGTGATGCATCGTGTTCGCCCACTCCACAAACGCGTTTCGCCGCCGCCAGATCGGGGCCCCGGCCCCCCCCCCGCCCCGGGCCCCACCCTTGCCCCCGCCCCCGCCAACACCAGCGGAGGCGGCAGCAGCGGCCAGGCTGCCGTTTGCTTCCTGCACGGCGGGGAAAGCTGGTACGGGCCCAGACGCCGGCCCCGCAGCGCTCTCCAAGCACCCACTGCCCTCACCACTGGTAGACGAAGGGTAGGAGGTCTCGGAGGTGGGGCGGACCAGGCCGTCCTTGGTCGGAGACGGAATGGAACTTAGAGACGGCTCGTTCGAGTACTGTGGCTGTGGGATAAAGAAGAACGGGCGCGGGACAAGAACAACGGGCCATGAAATCAGCATTAGCCGTCAAATGGTTACAGTCTATACACTCTGTCAATATCGCTGCAACGGTATGCGACGGGTACGGTACGACAGCTAGTGAGGCAACGAGAGAAGGTAACCGTCGCGCAGTGCTTAG